TCTCTCTCTCTCTCAGTATCACACAAACAAATACACAAATAAACACACACAAATAGACATTTATACAAACACGCTCTCTAGACTACATGTACACACGTAGAAAAAACTTTATCGTTCATTGCTGCAGGAACAATTAATTTGTGAGGCAGCGTGGTGGAATCAGGCTCTCGTCAATTTTTGGGCATGTGGAGTTATTGGTATCATCTTAAAGCTTGTTCACTTGTCTTTATTTGGATGCAAAAAATATCCATTTGTCTTGAATACAAGTCGAGATATTTACAATACAAAAGAAGGAGAGGGGGGGGGGGCACCTTTTTTTCAAAGGCAAAATTAGTGAGAAAATGGCCGCCAAAGATTAGTTATTTCCTTTGCTTAAGAGTCCGTGGTAACCGAAGATTTACATTTTTATGCCTTTAATCAAAGCTTTTCAGAAAAATCCACACAGAAATGAGTTCTTTAATGGGCATGAAAGGTGTTGTGCCAAAAAAACAAAAACAAAATTTGATGAGAATCCACAAACATGAGGAAAAATGCAAGTTTTTTCACTTTGATTATTTGGACGAGAGCCTGATTCCACCACGCTGCCTCACATTTGTGTTGTTTCTCTCTTATTGTATTGTTTTTGCTTTTGTTTTGGCTTTGTTTTGTTTTTCTTCCATCGGAGCAACTCCTCTCAAAGTCATGACGCCGCTTTTTAATTCGGCTCAGGAGCGAGCAGTATGACGTCAGTCAACCACGTGACTGTCACTTGTGCGAAGGTCGGCACAACCCCGTACGTGCGGCAGCGCCATTATCTCCCGTTGTCATGGAGACGAGGCAACAACAGCACTATGTGATAACCGACCGACACTAATTACCCCGTGAGCTCACCCCTTTACGGACCGGGTCAAAGGTCGAGCGAGTGTTGCGCCAATGACACTTTTCTCTCCCGTTGTTATCTGTGAGCCCTACTTTTGGCAGCCTCCTCGCGGCTCTGGCAACTGAGCTGGTTCCTGAAAGTTACGTATGCGCAGGCTTTGCTGGAGACTAGCGCGAGCTGCGTTGAGAAAAGAAAAGGAATGTGGGATTTTATCCAGCTTGTTATCCAACGCACGTCTTTGTGCATCGTGTTATCTTTCTGCTATCGCAACGCATGCTATTTTAACGTCAAACTCGAGAGAAATCTGGGGAAAGAAAAATGCGGTGACTCCCTGAGCCCGTACTTTCGAAACAATGTGGCGTTAAAGGGGGACTCGTAGCCTGGTGGGTGGTTGGCAAGGGCTCTGGTTTGGGTTCACTTCTTCTTTTCTCTCAAGAGTTTATCGTCCTTATGTCTCTTCCTTTTTTTCCTTAAATGTTAGTATCACCTCTAATCTTCAGCACTTATACTGACCTCTTTGTTTTGCAAGTACCGTAAACTGTTTACCAAATC